AATACGTTTGAAAGCATCAGCGAGACTTGTAGCAATGTTTATGATAAAAACTAAAAAAAGACTTTAAGATAGTTTGCTTAAAGTGTGGTAGAGAGCTAACGGATTGATGGGAGTTCAGTTGCTGGATTGATCCTTAGTGACGACATGGTTGTTTACTTTACCTTCATGCTCGATCAGCTTGAAATCGTCGGTCAGTACCTGTTCACTGATTAGTTTGGCCGTTGGCTTGGGGCCAACGGCCCTCCCACGCTCAAGTTAGTAATGGAAGTAAAAGAAAGGTATATCGACTATACTAATTTAATCAGAAATGAAAGGGTTTTAAGTGTACCGCATTCCAGCTTCTCGGTACTTGCTTACCGTCGACAGATTGCAGTCGATATGCCCCTTGTCCGACGACTTCAATCATGTCTTCAAATCTATCTCGTCATAGAAGTGACAACTCGTTCGTCTGGTCTTGAATAAGGTCTTCCATGCTTGTAGTCGTGCATCCTCGGGGATTCCGATTTCCCGTGCCCCCCTTCGTGCTCAATATGTCCGCGACGGGCTCGTAAGTCTTCTTCTAGACGGATGAAAGCTAGTGTCTTTGCTTGGACATCTTCGAAGGACCGACTAGGGTATTTCGTCAACTCCCGATATAACTCTGAATCCTCCAGCAGTCCTTGTCTGAATGCTTCAATTGTCGTCGGCACATAACACCTAGGGATTGACACCTTCTCCTTTTTGAAGCGATGCAAGTAATCTCGCAAGGATTCATTTCGCCTCTGGACCACCCGATAAAGATCACTGCTCTGCTTCTCCAAGGCTCGACTCCTCGCAAACTGTCGATTGAATAAATTGACCAGCTCCGCAAATGAATTGATGCCTTCATTTGGAAGGTTGACGAACCACGTCAATGCCGGTCCTGACAATGTCGTCCCAAATGCCCTGCACATGCAAGCTTCTCGCTGATCTAGTCTGACTGAGGTGACTAACATTTGCTGCTTGTACTGAGCGACATGTTCCGCCGGATCAGAAGTCCCATCGAACGGTCTCATCGAGGGGGCGGCGAATTTCCTCGGAAGCTCGACATCAGTGATATGTCGTCCGAAAGGCGAGTCCGCATAGCACGCTTGTGAGGCAACATCTAGCGGTGGCGGGACTCCAGGTATGCCGTTGATTTTCTCCCGCATCTCTCTCATCTCCTCTGTGAGGATGGCCAAGGAGTCTGTCAAGTATGTCTGCATCTGCGGAACTGGTACTTCGGGTGGTGTTGTCATTTGAGCTGCTCCTCGTTCGGTTGGCGATGGTATATCGATGATCTCTGGCTCTTGCCGCCTCTGGTTGTTGATGTCGACATGTCTGGGGATGTCGACATGATTTGGAACACGTCGTCTCTGGGGCGCTTCGAACAGATTACAGAATATGTCCCTTCTAGGATTTGGGAATGGAAAGGAACGAGTCGAGGGCCCTGCTTTTCCAGGCGTGCCGGCTCCAGAATGAGGGACGAAAGGATTCTTAGGAGCCGACGTGATGGTCGAAGTTGGCATCTGTTGGTTGATTGTATGCAAACGTGACGTCACTGTTCTGGTTCGCAATGAATCCGGGAAGAAGTGCATCGGGATGCTCATGGTTGGGGTTGAAACCGGAACTGAATCCATGTCCAATCTTGTTGCCACGGTCATGATATCATTTCCCCGTCGTGAATTGGATACTATGGATGTCACCGATTGTACTTGAGATCGTAGAGCATCGTTTTCTCGTTGGAGGAGGGTGATCCGCTGCCGCATTTCTTCCCTGACAGCTTCTAGTTGCGCTTGAATCTCCGCCGCCGAATGATTAGAATTTACGGCCATGCGTATTTCTTCCCTGAGAGCTTCTAGCTGTGCTTGAATTTCTGTCACCAAAGAATTAGAACTTCCGGCCATGATCGATTCTTCTTTTGCAAGATTTTCCCACAGACGGCGCCAACTGTTTTGACTAGAAATTAACTAATCAAAAACTATTTAATGAAGAGTGAATCAAGCAAAAAGAATCGGCTATGGATTAATAGAGAAGTATGAATTAAATGAATATATTGAATAGATTGAACAATGGGTTTCGAATAAGAATTTGAATGTATGTGATAGTGGGTCTCTCCTGATTGTGAATGAATTACACTGCTTGCTATCTAATCTATTTAAAGGGATGGAGCTCTCCCTTCCCGCAAGTCTAGCCTCGTGCGCCACTTTTGTTGCTCACGTCTAACTGCTTTGACCGGCACTTTGGCTCCACTTCCATGGAAATAGGTAGTCAGTTAAACAATTCTATCCTTAGCCATTTGTACGTGTAGAATGGTAGACTTGGTCTTTAGTTTGCTGACATGTAATCCACCTTTCCTCATTTGGTAAATTTGCGGCCCAACAGTACGTGCTCAAGTTTGTCCCAATTTATGTTAAAGATCAATCACGTTAATCATCCGGATGGAAAAGGAAGCACCACCCCAATGAGCCTCTTTAGACTTAGATCTTCAAATGGTATAGATGGCCGTACATGGGAACTGATGGGATGCACATGGCTGGTTAAATGCTACGAAGTACGTAGTAATTAAATAGAGGAGAGAACAGTACTTTAATGGCAGTACGTGTATGGGAGATCACAGGGATTCACAGCTAGGTAAAGTTTAGAGACTTACGAAGAAAAAGAGGGTTTCTAGATACATTTGTAGGTTAGTAGGTAATGGCCATAAAAGGAAAAAGTAGTTGGTAACCAATGACGTTTATTTTGGGGATAGTTTCATGCGCTCTCACAAAATGGCGACCTATTTGAAGAGAAAATCTTGTAGTTCGTGTACTAAACTACTCCGTACTAATTGTTCAAATTAAAATTAAGAGTTTGAGACATAATAATACTATAATAGTGACACAATTTTGACAAAATAAATTCAAGTAAGTTAATAAAATCCATTGCATTAAAAAAATCGGGTTTTAAAAACAAAAAGAAGGCTAATAGTCTTCGTCCTCTCTCTCTAGGGTTGCCGCAAGGTAATCACTAGCTTGGATTCGTACGCTATCGGCCGTTGCCGAGGAGCGAGACTGGGTTTTTCCGACCAATTGTTGGAATTGGAGAGTCTTCTCTCTAGCGGTCATCTCCCTACGAGTTAGAGCTTCGTTTCTTCCGATTTTGTCATCGACGAAGACCGGTCATTAGTCGATTTCGATCGTGCAAGCAGGCTCGGGACCAGGAATACAACGCTTTGGTGGTCAGGGCTCGACTTCTGCTGTTGTTTCTAGTCGAAGGTCGAGTGTTGACAAAGAAAAGGTGGATAAACTATGGCGGAATATGATTTCGATTTAGCAGCAAATGATGTCAATGGAGGATATCGTCATTCAATACGAAATCATGACTATTGAGGTGGATGAGCGGCGGGCGCATCCCCCTCTTGAGCCGCCGCCATGGAGTGCAAGCAAGTCTAAGGTTTGGAAGAAGATGGGTGAACTTTGTTTTAATTCTGTTTTATTCTGTTTGTGTTTTTCTTTCGAATTGCATGTTGTTTTGGACGTATTCTTATATCCTAGCAGAGAGATTCTAGATTTTAAGTCAGGTGATGAGAAGTCTGGTGTGCTAGTCATTGGCTCAGTTAAGCCCATTACAGGATCAACGAATATTATTGCTTATACAGAGGTGTTGTATTCTAAGTCTGGTTCGAGGGTGGACGACAGACATAAGGCTTTTTATCGTTTTGTTTATTTCTTTTTCTTTGATTGTATTAGAGCATCTCCAATGCTATAATGTGCACGGTGCACATGTGGCATGAGTGATCGCCACATAAATATTAGCATATAAATTATCTCTCTCCTTTTTTGAATGATTTTATACAATTTTGGTAAGTTTTTCCCTGCAATGTCAACAACAATGTCAACATCTAGACGGTCTCCTTGACATTGTGGAGGAAAACTTACCAAAACTGTATAAAATCATTCAAATAAGGAGAGAAAGAATTTATTTACTAATATTTATGTGGTCATTTCTCATGCCACGTGTGCACCGTGCACATTTTATCATTGGAGATGCTCTTATCAGTTATGAGACGAACATTATTTTGATTTAATATATTTGTTGAATTTGATGATAAAAAAATCGATTGCATTTCTCGTTAAAATTAAATAAAACTAAAAAGATACACCAACATGTTCTTTTTGAATAACAAAACATATGTCAAGACTCATGTGTGTATAAACTAGCTACTCACTAGATGCATGTTTATGTGTAAGAATAGTAGACGTAACTGAAATTTCTAGAGTACAAATCCTTAATGAGTCGGAATTAGATGTACCGTATTTGACCCTTTTATAATAAAAAAAAAAGGGTAGTTCTATGGTGCACCCCTTAATTTGATTGTACCATAGGGGGGCAATAATATTGTACCACATGGAAAATAATTAAAATATATATGGATTTAATGTCCATGTGGCATTGTTTTAAATTTGCCTACATAAGAAAGTGTACCACACATGCAAAAAATATAGAGTCCCAATTCGGGGATAAACAAAATAAAATATAGACGACCCATATCTGGCGCCTTATAAAAAAAGGTGTATATAGGTCGGGTCTGGATCTAAGGATGTTTTCTTTTGAACTGTTTTCATTCTCAAACCAGATCAAATCAGACTAAATCAAACTTTCATAATTATAAATTACATTGAAATCAGACATTTACCTTATTAGACCAGATTAAACGAGACCAGACCACCAAATTTCATTTCAAAATATGTCTATGAGCACCCACTTCTATGACCAGACCATGCATGACCCACTTTATTTAGATGATGATATCGAATGGTATGGGAACATACGGGCATACGGCCGTATATGGGATAATGGGAAAAGCACTTGGTCACATGACTCACATGGGTGGGTAAATGTAAAAGGTTAAAAGTAAATCAAGTTTGAAGAGGTCCATTTAATTGGGTAGATGAGAGTTGTACGTCGTAGCCATCCTATATATAACACCCTTCCATGTTCAGTCTACTCTTCACTAAAAAAAAACAGGTTCACCCTTCCATGTTCAGTCTACCCTTCCATTTTTTTTTCTACTCTTCACTAGCTCCACTTAGATGTGTACTTCACCTTAATTTCCTTCAAGCCTTCACCGGTCCCTTTCTATTGATATCATTCATCCCATCCATATCTTCTTCGTCGTAGCCATCACACTACTCCAAATTTCACCCCGAGGGTAAATTTATATGTATATATATTCTTGTGTTTGCTTTGTAAATTTGTTACGGTGTAGTTCTGAGTCATGTAATCAAGATATGGTGTTAAAAAGAAAGTCTTTTAATTATGGGTATCTTTTAAAATTGTATCTCCAGGTTAGTATGGAGGGGAGTTGCAACGTCCACATCCTCTTCAACCTTCTACTTGACTGCGGCGTTCAGTTCTTCTCGGGGATATTTACCATTCCAGAGGTGGCATGTTGCTCTGGAGTTGAAATGGCAGTAAAAAAAGAAGTTGAGTGCTTATGTACTAGTCCCACGGATAGGATGCTTTTAGTCATCTCATTGATCACATCCATAGCCATGAGAAAAGAGAGTAAGCATATATCTTATGCTTTCTAATTCTTCTTATTGTATACGATAGTATTTGTATGCTTACTTATCGCATATACTTCATATATATCTCACGTTCTTAAGACACTTTTCTACTCCGATCCTTTTTAGTGAGTGGAGAGAGTTTAGTATATGCTCATGACCCATCACTTGCAAATGGCAATAATAATGGTTAGTAATAATATTTAGTTAATTATTCAAATTGATGGATTGAAATAATTCAAATTTGTTGTATTGATATATAACTTGATTAATTTGTATAGGTTATTCTGAAATCTCCACTGGTCCTTTACCCCCAAGGGTAATTTACATCTTGCCTTTTTTTGCTTGGTAAATTTGGTGTTAAAAGAAGATCTTTTAACTTGTTAATTTTATGCGTTATCTTTTTTAAAAAATTGTGCAGGTTAGTATGGAGGCGAGTTGCAACATCAACATCGTCTTCAACCTAAACTGTGTTCCGTTCTTCTCAGGCACATCTTCCATATCTGAGGAGGCAGAAGTTGAGTGCTTATGTGCTAGTCCCACAGATCTCTTAACTCATTCTGGTTTGGTAATAATGTCATCCGGGGACGACTTGATCTCCTCAGAGCATGTCATAGTCCTATATGGTACTCAGGCTTTGTTTGCAACCACTTGTGCTTAAATAAAATCACTTTTTGATAAAAAGTGATTAGTAGTAAAAGTTGGTAGTGTTTGGTAAAATAAGTGTTTTTTGTGTAATAGAAAAAGTAAAAAGTAGATTCTACACGAAAGCCGAGAAAGTAAAAGTTGGTTGCAAACAACTGTCATATAATGTTCTTCATCAAAATATTTATGAGTCGTAGTCCTCTCCAAACATTAACTTTACTCTTTTTTGTGACCAGAACTCTATATTCTTAATGTTTAATGTTTATGATTTGAGTTTATTCTGTGGTTTCTAAATTCTAGCTACTCTCCTTTCAAAAAAAATCTAGCTCCTCTCAATATACTACCTCCGTCCCTTTTATATTGCTACAGAGGAGGGTGACACGATTATTAAGAAAAGTGAGTTTGTATGGTTGATATATATTAATTGATAAAGTAAGAATAAAGTAAGAATGATTTAGAGTCATACAAATTTTACATAATATAGTATGAGATAATATTAGTGCAACTTCCTGAAAATTCAAAACGAGACAATATAAGGGGGACGGGGAGTAGTGCACACTAAATAATGGGCGGCTTACAGACATCGGCGCACATCGCTAATAGAATCACACAAAAATATAACTAAAAAAATAACAATTGGATATGAGAGTATGAGACTAAAAATGGATATGAGTATAGTATACGCTTGTTAGGCCCAACTAATACATATAGTACAGTGACCAATTACAATAACCAAATGAATTATTGTTACCTCATTAGTTACATTTACCCGATCTATCGATTAAAGTTATTCGATCTGTGAGCTATAGTTAGAAGTAATGGAAAAAAATATTAGGTAGATTCTATAGTACTCATAAGGTATCATACATTTATCCACATGGACCAATCAGAACGATACAGTTGAATTATTTAAATCTAAATTAAAGAGGATATGACTTAACTCTTACTCACCTTCATCAGCAACGTTAGCGTGAACTTTCAGCCACTTTTGTTTTCCTCGAACCATCACCTCATCGTTGTCTTTCTTCCTCTAACAATTGTACGTAGCAATCGATTGGAGAAGAGGACGCACATCAGACCTATTCTCAATCGCCAGTGGCGGAACCAGAACAAAATTTGAAGGGGGCGAAAAAAAAAAAGTCGAACCGTTGGTTGGACAGATCCTATAGTTTGTACCGTTTTTTGGGTGGGTATATTTACAGTAATTTGATCTCAAATCCAATGCAGAAAGAGTTATTCCCATTTGCGCGAAGTGATACTTCATATGGACCTATATATAATTAACACACAAGCAGACACATACATATCAACTTAAATATAGACATTTATTCATTTTTATACTTATTTTGTTAGTGCCTAAACAAAATAATAGACTTCGTTTATCAAACGAGTTTATTTCGATTTAATACGTTTGTCCTTTTATTTTAGAATAACAAGGGTTAAATAGAACTATAGCCAATGTTCTAAAAGGCACTAGGCGCTAGTCGGGCGCCTGTCCAGCGCCTAGCGCCTAGGCGGGCGCCTAGTCGGGGACTAGTCGGAGACATATAAATTGATTTTTTATCTATATATTTGCATAAATATGATAAGTAATATTGTATTTTTGTGTGTATAAAATACATATACATTTACATTAACAAACATGAAAGATAGAATTCTCACATTTAATCATACGCAGTATATGATAACTAATCACTTAACTTAATTATGGTATAAATATAATTAATGATAAAATTTAGGTATATATACAAACATATATAGTTTTAAGCCATGCATGTGTAAGCATGGCTCATTAAATCTCGAATATTCATTTCTTAATTTAAAACTTCATTTCTTTATATTCATGGCTAAAGTTAAAGTACGTATATCGCGAATTTAGGAAATTAAAATTTAAAAGTAAAGTAATGTTCGGCGAATTTAGACGGTCTAGGCGACTGATTAGGCGCTCTGGGCAGGCAACTAGGCGCCATAGGCAGTCGACTAATTCACCTAGACGGCAAACCAATTAGTCGGAGCGCCTAGACGAAAATCGGGGCGCCGACCACCGCCTAGCGCCTAGGCGGGGACTAGTCGGACGCCTAGAACGATTTTTAGAACAGAGACTATAGCTAAACATTTAGAGGAAGATAAATTAATAATACATATATAAGTTACTAACTTATTAAAAAAATAGTAATTTTATTATATTTTTCTATTTTCAAATCAACATTACTACGTTATTTATTTTTTAAAGGATTTTTTTATGCAAATGTTATTACATAAATCTAATTATACTCATATAAAGTCAAATATTCCAAAAATCAACAAGAAATTTGGCATATTTGTACTGAACCAATGAATAAATAAATAAATAAATAAATAAATAAATAAATAAATAATTATGTTAAAATTTGATTCGTTTTGAAAACTTTCTTGATAGAGTCCTTATAAAATGATATAGGTCAATGTTTTTTTTTTGACAAAATATAGGTCAATGTTTGAAAAGGGAAGAAATAGTTAAAAGTCATTTTTACCATTAATGTATTCAAAAGAAAACGTAAATATAACATGTCAATATTCGAAAAAAGTAAAAACTAAATGGTTTGAATTGAAAAAATAAAAATTTATCATAAAAGTAATTCAAGTGGTAGGAAAAATATTACTAGTAATAAAACTAATACGGAGAACGTAGTACAACATCACAAAAATTAGCACCAAAAATGAAAAAAAGCAGGATTCGAACCCGCGTCTCCTACAGTTGATAGAAGCACTCCAACCATCAGTGCTACTCGAATTGTTTGATGAGATACGGGTCTGTTAATATTTATAACTACTGTCAAGACGGGGCTGGACATATTCATATACATATATATACACTAAAACCTCCGGCGAACGGGGGGCGGCAGCACCGGCTCGCACCCCCTAGTTCTGCCACTGTCAATCGCCAATCACTCTCCACGCTGCCGCAACTCTCTTTGCTCTTCTATTTCTTCTTTGTCGTTGCTACCGCACCTACACTGGACTAGTCTTCCTCGATGGAGTGTCGTCCTCGATGGACGACGTCTCATATTTAAGGACGCCGGTGCCGGATCCACAGTCCACCATGGGCGACGACTCCTTTTTGGAGCCGTTGGTGCCAAATCCGCCAAACCTTGATGGACCATGGTTCCGATATGGGGCTGCCAGTGCCGGATCCGCTGTCCTCAATGTCGAAGAGGGGTCTGAGGAAAAAACAGAGGCATAGCAGGGGAGTGAGACTGGGGATCTGGTGGGTAGGGCTAGCGGAAGTGGAGATGGGGGATGGGGAGTTAGTGCATAGAGTTAAGGGCATGTCAAAGGCAGTGGTGAGCACCGACACCGTTAGGACAGGGCAGGAGCGCGCGGGATTAGATGGGACAAGGGTGGCAGGATTGGACTGGGCATGGGTGGCGAATGTGGATGGGCCGATAGCACATTAGACGGTGGGCAGGGGGAGGGGCAGGGGAAGGGGCGGTGGCTGGGGAAGGGCGGGGCAGTGGCAGCAGCTTGAACTGGGATGGGGGACAACCGTGATGTTCTCACTGTGGCAGTGTATGCGGCGGTGTCATTGTGGCCAGCCGCCAGTGGTAGTGTTACTGTGGTCGGCGGCGGTGACCAGCAGCGGCGATGACATGAGCGATGGTGGTGGAAGTGACATGGGCGATGGCGGCACCAGTGACCTGGGCGATGCCAACAGTGACATCCGACAGTGAAATGAAAATGAAGCAGTGACAAGATTATTTGAATGTCACTTTGTTTTAGTCACATTTTTTCCAAATGAAAACGTTGTCGCATTTTTCGAAATCAGCCTTAATTTAGTAATATCCAGGGGAAACCCCCTTGTAGTTATCTAACTGATGAGATAAAGTTACTTGACTTGCCAGTTACAATTATTCAACGCATTCTTTACAGTTACATGATCGGTCAATTTTCACAACTTACAGTTATTCAATTTGATAAGTTATAATTATCCCATTTGATCAATCAGGGTTATCGAGTTTGACCATTTATAGTTCACCAGTCTCATAGTGATTGTCGTCAACCACCACCTCCTGCCAGTGCTGGCGACCACCACCGCTGGCGACCACCACCTCTTGTCACCGCCAGCGACCACCATCACCAACACCACCTCCAGGGACCATCACCTCCGATCACCACCAACGTGCACCATAGCGAACACCACACCCAAGCCCCCTCCCCTGGGTCACTCGACACCCTGCCCCTCTAGCATCAGCACGTCCCATCCCCCCATCTAGGGCCGGCCCTGACGCTGTGCAGGCAATGCGGCCGCACAGGGCCCAATTTGGGTGGAGGGCCCAATCGTTAATTTGGGCTAAAAAGGCCCAATAGTCCGTCTGAACCAAATCAAAAATTCCGCTGCTCTTGGGAGTCGAACTCGTGATGTCTACATGAAGAAGAAAATGGCTTACCAGCCAATCAAGTTAGCTCGTTGAAATTATTTGGTAATTAGCTATTCAAATACTACGTATAGAATATCTTTAGTGAAATTAATTAACATTACTTCCAATTCATTGTATTACTATATGTATATACTTATTATTATTAATTACTATATTGTATTACTGTATGTATAGTTAAGTACGGAATTATTTGTATTATTACTTTACTATACTACCTGTATATACATTTGTAAGTTACTTTCTTCATTTCCTTATAGTTACAATTCTTATTAAGTTGGATTTCTTTTATTATGATATTTTTTTTGTTAGCAATCAAAATAAATTTTTAATTACATTTTATACTTAATTTTTGTATTTTTAAGTTCATTATTTTCACTACATGTGTAATATATAATTACTCCATCAATCTCAAATTGAGTTGTAAAATTGACTTTATGAGTCAAACAAATTCATTTTATTCACTTAATTGGGATAATAATTTTTAATTAAATTTTAAATTGGATTTTAAAATTTTATAGAGATTTTAATGTAGTTTCTGAATATGTAAATTTTAATTATTCTGTATTAAAAATGAATTAATTATTAATATGGAAAATTAACTTTAACATTGAGACGGAGGTAATATAATTTTTTTAATACAGGGCCTTTTATTTAGTTTTGCACGGGCCTTTAATATTCTAGGACCGGCCCTGCCCCCATCCCTAGCTCCTGCTTCTACGGCCCTGTCCCCAGCCCCATACCCATGCTCCCACAACCCCCACGACATGCTCCCATGCCTGCATGTGACCTACTCCCTCCGTAACATATATATGTTCTCATTTGAAAAGTAGGTAGATTAAGAATAGTGAAAGGAGATATAA